TACCTTGTTTCGCTAATTTCTGTGATTAAAGTGCTACGAAACCGAGTCAAAGATTCAAAGTGTTCAATATACAATATGCTGGTAGCAGAACACCCAACAGAGTTTTTTGTTTATTTGTATGTTTTTCCCACTTAGTTCTGTAGCTTGTCTTAAAAAATGTCTCATTCTAGAGAGGTAGGTATATGAGTATAGACATAGAGGCTGAAGAACAAGTGTTTATATCTTTTGCATTATTAGCAGCTTTGTGGTTTGCACAGAGAGGAGGGAGAGGGAAAGGATTCTGTCTATGTAACTTCCTAATTTTGTAACAGAATAAGTACATTTTAAAGCTTCTGAGCCAATGTGGATTTAAGAGATTAGAAGTGACACTGACATTGACAAATCAGATGCAATAAAGAATTTAATTGACTGAAGGAGTTCAGGGGCTGCTGTATGAAGAATCCAATAACCAGTTTAACTAGTCAAGTAGTGTACCTAATAGGAAATAATAAATAGCAAGTTCCAGTTAATTTAAAAGCTTGATGACATTTACTTTATAGTGATTAGAATTCACTAGGCCACTTAAGAACTCTCTGTATTTATTTCAGTAATCCATGATTATACAATCCATGATTATACAATACAAAGTTTTGAATAATGACATATGCAGTGAGTATTACAAGTGCTTGTAAAATTGAGATATATTGTCATTCAATCCAGCTATGATTAGCTCTGCTCTAATCACTGTCAGAAGAGTAATAGTTATTTTCATCTCAAACACCACTTAAGACAGTAGGGCTTCTCAGCTGTATTACACTTCTCTTTACTAGTTCAGTCCTGTCTATACAGCTCTTGGTATTTACCATTGTTAATTCAGCTCTGGATATCAATGTGCCAAACAATCCCAAACTTCTTTTAAACAATATATTTATAATATGGATGGGGTTAGAAGAACACATTTTTTTAAAGTGAAGCATTTATTATGCTTTGTTACCTTTTTGCTAGCAAATTCCAGTTCAAAGGTGAGATGACCATGACCTGTAAAGAAGAAGAGTATTTAACATTTTACTACCTTACCCTTCTTGCTTAATCATTATTGAACTCAAGTTTATTTTATACTAACCTTGAAGCTATGCCTTCAATACTTTTTAATTAAAATAAAAAAGTGTTTTCACCTCTCCCTCAGTGTTACATACCTACACACTGCATAGGTCCATCTCATTTATCTGCTTTTTTACTAAGCTTTGTGTCACATCTCACACTATTTCTGTTCCTACTCAGTTTAACCAAAATTCAAATATAAATAAATTACTGTTGTTTCTTCTAAAATACAGGATGATGCATATAATATAGATGTAACGCTCATTTGTTACATGCTCACAATGTTCTCATCTGAAGAATTCGAAGAGTGTTTTTAGTAAATGTGTCCCTTTACTTTAATGCATGTTGCTTTATTAGATAGTAATCAGGGACCTAAGCAAGCCAAGGAAACTTAATGATATGATAATCCAAACAGATAGCAATCAACTTCTTATAGGAAACGAGACCTTCTACTTCAGTTTTAACCTTTCAAAAGGAAAAAAATAATTTCTGGTAGACCATTTTACAGGGAAAATATGGGTGGGTTTTTTTCCTATTTTCAATCCGAAACTAAGTTTGAGAGAAAAATATAAAGAAAAACATATCTTTTTGCATAAACTAGTGTTGTGATCTATGTTTTTTTTTCTTTAAAATAATAAAGATAACTATGATAATGCTAGCACAAGGACTGCATAGCAGGATTGACTATTGATCTGGAAAAGAGTCCCTCTTGTCCTGTACTTGATCATACTCCGTAAAGTCCGTATTCCATCAATGATCCACCATAGTAAAGGTAGAATTAGTGTGAGGTTACTTGATTGTATGCATAGGTCATTTCGTTTGTCTGATTTTTCTATGAATGAGTCAACTTGTACACTTTCACAATAACATCAGGTAATAACGCTTACAATGAAGATTTGAGTCATTCCTCCTACGCAAGTTATTCAGTTTTCTTGTCAGATAATTTTGAGCAAAATGACAAAAGGATTTTTTTTTTTTACAAAAATTCAATGCATTTAGTATTTCTTAAAGAAAAAATAAATGTCAGCTAGACAGAAATATGACAATAACATCAATTGCTGAAAAAGTATCCATATCACCAGTAGTAAAAACTCAAACTAAAAATAATTCTTCTTCCTCTATAATTGGCAAAGAAATATTATCCTTAGAAAATACAAATTAAAGTAGTATTGTATCAGTGCATTTTCTTTTGTATCCAGCTTCAGGAAGTACAAGAGGCAGAGGAATTCTTTCATATTGGAAGCTTTGGTCCATGGGTCATGTTTTTGTTTTATCTAAGATAGATTACAAGGAGACTCCTCTCGGATCTTCCAAATTATAAAAACTACCTTAAAACCTTGTGCTGCAACCATCCTCGTTGTTCATCACTGAGGTCCTTTACATGTTAGGGTGCCAGGTGAGACTCAAGAGTCTGTTTTGTTCCCTTAACTTTTCTCTCCTTATATTCCATTACCCAAGCTGAAAAAAAAAATATCCTTTTCACCAAGTACAGACAATGACAACTTTTTGTTTTCTGTTTCATTTTGAATCTTAAAGGAAGTCCAATGAATGTCCTGGAACCCTATAAAGATTGTACTAAAGGACGATCATGGTCAAGGACTTATAACTCAGATTTTGAGGTCTTTTTGAGACTTCAGTCTAGATCTTTTCCCTACGTATAGCATGGTGCTTTTTGTTTCCGTAATTGTGTATTTACACGCAGGAGTGTGACATTGGGAATGGGTAGAGTCGATCCTACATGGTTTAGTGAGGGTGATATCAGTTTTGGCCAACTTTAGCCAGGAGAGTTCCTCTTGTAATCTGTGGAGAGAAAGAGGTATCTCTGAAAAAGAATTCATCTCCTCATTAAGATATCTATTTTGGATAGATGAGCTGAATCGCTCTCTGGAGGGGGAAAATTCACTCCATATAGACAACCTCTTTGAATACTTTCAATTATATGTTGAACTTCCCGGTTTTTAAATATTGTCTAATTAAGATCTCTTATATTTCTGAGTATCAGTGAATCCCACAAGTAGCATAAATAATAAACAAACAATAATTATATTCATTATTTGCCGTACGCTTGAGTCAGTTATGATTTCTGCAATTGATGGAATCTGGACTTCATCTCTGCAGTGGCAAGGGTGTTGATGACAGCATTTGGTGCAAGACTTTGAGCTTCCACAGGTGTTTGCTGGCAGTCTGGTCCACTGGTATTTGCAGGAAATGTAAAAGTTTGGGAAATGCAGATCCATGCCTGACAACAGGAGGAAACATGTTCCATCTTTTACATTCAATCAAACATTGTCTCTCATGCTTAAGATTCTTCTTATTCCTCTCTATGACCATTTGTTTACTTGCTGTCAGAATCATTGGAGACTCTATCTATTGCTCACGTGCACTGTATATATTCAAAGTATTACAAATTGGCTAAATTTGTTTGATTTTTTTTTTTTTTGTCCCTAAAAGACACAGCTATCACACATGGTTTTTTTCTCCTGACAGTCTTCAAGTCACTGCATTAACATTAGGAACTCCTCAGACATTCAGAGTAGTGAGCATGGACAAAGAAGTGTCACTTGTCTAGTCTCATTCTTGGACAACAACATCAGGTGTCTAGAATCTATAACTTCAGAACAAATGGTCATTGTCCATAATGATAAACAGGATCATCCTTCCAGTTATCTGATCATACTTTTTGGATCAGCTTCTATGCAGGAGTATTTAAGCAATCTTCTAAACAGTGTGATAGTTTACTCTGCCCCAATGCATAAACCAGCCTGGATTGTGTAATTCAGTAGATCCTTCGTCAGGCTGGTGATTTTGGTTGAAATATTTTGTTGCACTTTAAAAATACAGGCATGTAAAATAGTAAGAATATACCAATAAAACTCACATCGTTCCTTATAAATCCAGACATGGAGGTGGGAATTACTGTTTACAATATATTGATATTTTGCTTATTAACTATCAGAATGAATCTCTTCATAAACTTTGGATTTTAGGATCTCGACTTTCTTAGAATGTTAAGTGATTGAGAAGTGAAGGATTATAATGGATAAACAAAAGGTGGAAGTGTACTTTCAACAGAGAAAAATTAGAAAAAAAAGTAAAATTTTCTCCTATCTCTGGCTTATAAATTTAAAAAATAAATATCGTGGTCAGAATTTCAAAGAGTAAGAAGATTTCCTGTTTCCTGAATGAAGCATAATCTAAATAATCTATTACAATCTGTCATTATGGAATAATACTACATTATCACTTGCAAATGAGAAGTATGGCTTTCATAGTTGCCAAGCTGTACTTATCCACATTTGATGATCCCCATTAATTTTTAACAATTGTCCTGTCACCAGACTGGTGAGCTGTAGAAAATCCTGTGGAGATGTCACATTCCTTGATGATTGCAGTTAATGTTGCTGCCCCTCTGAATCAGCATGAAATGTAGACATTTTTATGACTGAATCTGCAATTTGGGATTTGATCATGCTATTTATAGTATTGTTAATGGTCTGTAGCACTGACAAGGGGTGTGTTGAAGTAATTCTCTAAGTCACCCTTGTTTTCAGTTGTAAAGGCAGAACAGGCATACATCTGGATTCTACATTTCAGTAACTGGACAGAAAATAACAGCACAAGGAGGTCATGACTTTCACTGCTGAAAGATTTTAATAGGTTTGTTCTTTTTTTTTTTAAAGTCTGTGGATTTTTTTTTTAACAAATATTCTTTTTAAGAAAAAGGAGCAACTTATTTGGATCTAGCTTCTACAAAGCCAGTTGCAGTCACATAGTGAAATGAAAGTAAGCTTAGTGACATCTCAAGAAAATAAAGTTGAACTAAAAAACCAGCTGTACATGGGTTTTAAACTTACCGTGTTTACTATACTAGCAAAATGAAATTTTCACTTTTTATGAAAATAATTCAGAAATACCTCCTTACTTCTGAAAAAGAATGATTTACTTCCAAGTCCTCATTTTGTTTCTAAACACAATTCCTAAAATGTGTAGTATCTGGTCTGTTTTAATTTTGAACCTGAAAGAAAGGTTACACACTATGAAAACCAATATCTGGTAAGAATTCTTCTCAAGTTAATAACATTAGAATACTTAGGAGATTGCCTGATTTTTATCCATCTCTGAAAGTGTATCTGAATCTGATCATGCCCAATAGCTCCAAAATTATCAAGAACCGTATCTAATGCCAAAGTTCTCATTATTGCTGCTGTAGCCAATGTGTAAAGAAGAGTAGGAATTATAGTATCTTGCTTCATTATTTCATCTTAAAATTCTCATAGAACCATGGGGAGGGGAAAAAACAACAGCAACAGCCAAGTATATTAATGATCCCTGGAAATAGTGCTTGATTTCCTATGGGTTTGTGTCCCTTAATTAATTAACCACTTTAGTGATTTATACTAAGATTTCTTTTTGTCTTTCCATATGCTTGTTAAAATTAAGCCATCCTTCTCCCTGCAGGACTAGCAAGTACTGGCTTGTGCCAACTCATTAGAATGAAGCACTATCACTAGCATACCGGGAGAACTGTGTTTTCTCACTTCCTCTCAGCATCCTCTAGCACAGAGCACAGGAAGTAAGAGATGGCTATACTCTGAACTGCTTTAATTGGCACTAGAGAATTGTCCTCTAGATGTCTAAATTTGGTGTCCGCTACTATATTCAAAAGTTGTTCTGTGGGGAAGAAGATTACATCTGTTTTTACAAGAAAACAGGGCAGTTGTGTTTAAATGTATGGAAACGAGTACTGTATCACTAAAGCTCTGAGAACTTTCATTTACTGAGGAAATCCCTGGAAAATGGATGTGTCCTCTTCCATAGGGGTGCTGGAAAGCAGTTGGAAATTTGCAAGTTTTAGAAGAGCAGTATAGAATGAACCACAGAAGTATTACATTTTATGGACACTGTGTTATGAGGACACAATCTGTAAAATATGTCCAGAAATATGCTAAGCATTTAATCTGTATGCTATTATATCTTTTGAGGTTTTACAGTTAGTCTCTCTTATATACTAATTTAGCTTGCATGACTATGATTTAGTAAGACATTGAAGTAAGGTCTCTATCAAATCCTTTTTTATAGGTTCTTGGAAGTAGTAGTAATACATTGAAATCTTTCCAGAACAAGTAAAACTTCTAAAGGCTGTAGTTATCTAAAAAGGTTAATTTCTTTTTTTTGGTGTAGCCAAAAATTTCTAAAACGTAAATGTTTTATTCCCAGTTGGGTAATTGATTCTCCCTGGTATCTGACAGAGACCTTTTGGTTGTTTCCTAATTAGAAGTACAGAAGAGAATAAGCAGACCCAAATCCTCATAGGGCTTGTTAACATCCTTCCTGTGACAGACAGAGAGAGAGGAGGTATCTCTTTCTTGCACACCTGCAGTGAATTCCCTCTTGGGCCTCACAGTGTTCCACACTGGCACTACAGTAGGCTCTGAACTCCAGGAGAGCTACACTAAAAGAAATAGTTACACTGGCTTTGCTAAGAGTTTCAGAAATTTGGGAGTCACAAAGGACTGTGATAGACAGTTATAATATCATTTATATGAACAACCATACTTAATAATACAGATAATAGGAGATAATTGACTAGGTTGTACCTGCTTCATGCCTTCAGATACATTCAGAGACTAGAAATCCACGCATTTCTACTGGAATCACTCTTCCTTTCAGGGCAGCCTTGCTCATTTTCACTTATTTGTTTGCATTAGAAAACTTACTTTTAATGTGGTTTTTTGTTTTGTTTTGTTTTGTTTTGTTTTTTTTGGTGGGGTGTTTGTTAGGAGTTTTTTGTTTGTTTGTTTGTTTTTTCATTAAACGTTCCATTAATTAATTGTTTGGGGTTTTTTTCTCTTGGTCACATGTAGTATGCTGCATAGTACATCCCGGGGACCATACTGCATTTGAAGTAAAAGCTTTAATGCAACTCTCTTCCTGTATTTAAACAAGATGACAGGAATCTTGAAATTGAACTGCGTATCAAACACTTGAGTTCTAGGCAGTCTTCAGTCTAAAGGAGTTGAACCCTCTATTGTTGTATTTACAGGATCATATCACAGACAGTGGCACAGGGCTCTTCTCACCCAGCCAGTGGAATCTGAGACACTGTGCAACCATAGTAATACATGAATAGAGGTGTGCTGGTTATATAGGAAATCAAGTAGCATTATAGTTAGTTGAATTGTCTGAATGACAAATGCTGCGTTATTTTTGGATTTTATTCAGGGAGTGTTTAGTATAAAACATGCAGACAATCCAGAGTTGGCTGCAGAACCAGGGCAATACATTCCAAAGAACATACTGCATAGAAGATGCATTCCCTGGTGCACACCATAGGCTTTGTGTGTACATTATGGCCATGATCTCTTTTCACTTTGGGATGAAAACTCTAGACCTCTGCATCACTCATTACCCACTGAAGGAAAGATCATGTGCCCCACTGTGCACTCCAATGGCTATTCAGATCTGGATGACTGGGGACTGATGCAAAGCACAGACTGCCCCACAGCTCGATGTGGTATTTTTTGTGGACAGTCTGATGTGGTTCTGTGCTCAGCACATGAACTTCCTTAACGATCACTCAAAGACACTTACAGATAAGTCATATAACATAGGCAATCATCATTGCTTACTAATCACCTGTATTTTTTGTAGTCTAGTACTGAAACTTACTGACTAAAATAAACAGCCTGATTTTGACCTTCTGCACTATGAGAAATGTTACTCAGAGAACATATTAATCTTCCTCATTCTTTCAATATTTTGATGTCAGTTTTAAAGTCTTTGCTTAAATCATAAAAAGATAGTTTTAGTAGTTTATTTGGTGGTAAGTTCTCCCACACTGTTCTGTCTTCCTTACCTGTACGTCTACTTTACCACTCTTTAGAACTTAAAATCAATGAATAAAGTTATTTTATGAAGGACAGAATAAATTAAGAGAGTTTGAAGATATTTGATGTGGTGTCTTTCCCTTAATAAAGATTTATGATTACACTACTCATCTGCAGACTGGGGTAGGGACAAACTTTTGGCACACGGGAAAGACCATTAGTTCTCATACATTTCCTTAAGCAATTATTGTTAGAGAAAAACCTTTAAGTTCTAGCTAAATGTAAAGATGTCCTAAAACATATTTGTCTCTTTGGAAAGAAATTGGTTGGTGATATACTAATAGGAATGCTTTCTAAAGTGTTCATATTTCTGTGTAGTCAGGTTTTTGGGTACAAACAGATTTGTGCTGGGTTATGAGGCAAAAAAAAGAATCTCTCTTTTTGCTTCACCTGACTTCACCTTTTTTTAAGGTATGGACTATGAAAAGCAACATCCTCTTTCTGCAATATGAAACCACTTTTGTTCTCAGACTAATGTTTATCTGGCCAATACCAGTGTATGCATTTCCTTAATATCTCTATCCTTGTATTTCTACGGCCAAAATTTGTCAGCCTAGAATTTCAGATTTTTGAGAGTTATAGAGGTCAACTTGACTTTTTTAACTCCCTGTTGATTTCCTGTACCCATTTTGTATTGACTAAAAGTCAATTCCAGCCTAAATTGCCAATTGTATTCTGCATAAAAAGAATTGTGATCAGCAGGTTGAGGGAGGTGATTTTCCCCCTCTATTGTGCTCTTGTGAGACTCCCACCTGGAGTACTAAATCCAGCTCTGGTGTCCCCAGAAGAAGAGAAGACGTGGGCCTGCTAGAGTGGGTCCAGAGAAGGGCCATGAAGATGATCAAAGGGCTGGAGTACCTCTTCTATGAAGAGAGGCTGGGAGAGCTGGGGTTGTTCAGCTTGAAGAAAAGAAAACTCAGTGCTTCTTTCGTGGCCTGGGTTTCCATGTGTCTAGATTTCATTGGGAAATGCATCCATATGCAGCCTGAAAGCGTGATGTGACTTATTACTTACACTGACTAATTGAATCAATAATATTTTAGATTTGCTGATACACAACTGAACATTATTCTCATGATCAACAACCACTCAGAGCCAAGAAACCTGAAAAACATTTGTTTCATTCAGTACTTGTGCTTTGAGCAGCGCTGGGTAAGCCAAACCTTTGTCTTGCACAATGACTGGCTGCAAATCACTCACATCAACTCTTCTTAAATTTATGGTTCGCCTATCCTTTTCTCATTTTCTTCATTTTCTGAAACCTCACTTCTTTTGTAATAAAACCAATCCATTACAATGCAGAAAACACTAAAAAGAATCCATTAAAATGCAGAAAACACTAAAAAAGAAAACAACAATGGTAAGTATCATTTACTTTCTTAAAACCAACTCAATTTAAATATTAATGAGACTCTAACAGCAAATAGAAAATTGTATGTTTTATAATATAGAGATATTATGAATATGAGGTCTTGGAAAAACTTGCTTGAAAGAACTTGTTAAAAGAAAAAGAAAGTTGATGCTGTTACTGCTACTTTTTTTTTTTTTCATTCTGATTTGATTTGGTGATTAGTGATTTGTTTATGTTGCTTTCCAGTTTAGTGCCAGGTTGCAGAGGTGACAACTCTTTGGTGGCCCAATAAGGACCAACTTTAGTAATATGGATATGTATTTCTTTAACACTGCACTGTCTACTTTTACAGCCTCAAGATTTGATAGGATTTATAAGGTATTAGATGAAATCTAAATTTCCAATTTCATCACAAGTATCATTACAATATAGCTTCAGGTTTACAAAAATAATTTGGTCATCTGAAAATACTGCCTGTATAATACCAATTTTTGTGCTAATGTGAATTTCCAACTGTGTAAAGCAGAAGTGTAGGTAAATTCAATTTAACATGCCCAGAGGCACAAGCTTACATACTCCTTTCAGAAACTAATCAGTTATTCATTCATGAATCTCATTTTCTTCAGTCGTATCTACATACTTTACACTTCAACCTTACACTGTCTTTACTTCCAAAATTCAGTATTCAGCTATGAACAGTGAAAAAGGTCTGATTGATATCCAAGATATCCCAAATAAGCTATTTGTAGTTCACTTCCTCCCTCAAAGAGAAGCTGTTTTCCAGAGAGAACAAGTATTACTTGTCTTCTTTTCTATGACAAATGCTCACTCTCTTCCACATCTAATAATTTTTGAACTTTTTACCAGGTTTAACAGAGAAAGCCAAAGTTTAGATAAGAACATTCCAAGATCTGTGAAAACTAATTGCGGAATGCAAAGATTCTGAAAGAAAGGCAGAAAAACCTCGTTGTGTATTGACTGGCAGAACAGGGTGCACAACTAGCACATGCAAACTGACTGGTGAGGTGATATGCCTAAGGCTTCCATCTACCTCAATGATGTCACAAATGTCCGCTTATGTAGAGGTGACTTAGCAAAGAAAAGATACACATCTATAGGAAAGATTTTCATCAGTTCAGTGCCAAGAACAAATTTTTCCTGCTAAGCATTCTTGCCAGTCTGTGATTATTCTAAGAATATTTCTTCTCACTTGCATTTCTTGACCAATGTTTTAATACTTCTCTTTCCTTCCTCCTCTTTATTCCCTCAGTCCTAACTTTGCCCTTTACCATTTTATCTACTACTTAGTCATATTTGTTCTTGTTCCTTCTCTCCTGGTGATGACATATTCAATTTTTCTATTGATTGTCAGCTTGCAGCATGTGGACCACAGGTTCAGAGATGTCAGAAAATGGTATGTGAGATGCTGAGATGTTTTTTTAATCAGGCACATTTACACACAGATTCAAGTAAAGAAGCAAACCAGAGAAGGTCTCACAATGTAGTTGCCAGTGTGCATTGTATGCAGTTTTTAATTCTTTTTTATCCTTGTAGAATTCTCTTTGAGGATCCCATTTGACCTGGAGTTACAGACACTATTTTTTTAATCTCATGCTAGCACAGTTTTTCAGTGCACTAAACAAATAGTCTACTCTCACACTGTTGCAATCTAGAGTGTTCTAGATGAGTTTCTAACATTCCCTCTATGTTCTATCTACCAAAGAATATGTAATATGAAACATGTATTGACTGGCAGAACAGGGTGCCTTTGGAACACCTTCCAAAGTTTTAAACTTATAGGGCCTATGTTTTAATATTTGGATTGAAATTTTTTAATGATATCTGCTCCATCTGATTTTTTAATTATTTTTTATTTTAGTATTTCAGTTACTTTGTGATGTTTACAGGCTAGGAGAAATCAGGTGTGTCTATGTAGTACTGTCTGTACTATGCTATAAGCTAAGCAAAAGCTGTGTGGCTTTCTTGGTGCTGGGTAGTAATTTCTGTCGGAAGGTAGTTACAATAGTCAAGACATAACCATCCCAGCATGGTCATATAATTTTTAATTGATTAAATAAGGTGGAAATTTTTCTTTCTTAAACTTTAACCTTTGTATCGCAGCTAGTAGTATACAGCTACCTTGATTTGATAACAGAATTATAAACTCATCTCTAATTCACTAGGGATTGAAAAACCTATTTCAGGAAAGCTCAAAC